AGACAATGTAGCTGTGCTCTCCTTGGTGTCCTCAGTGCACAGTCTTTCCAACTCAGGCACGAGCAGCTGCTATACATGAGGTAAGTTTCCACAGCAGCCACTTCATAGAAACACTGAGCAAAACTATGGAAGAACTGATTAAAATCAAATAGTAAACACTGACATGAAATAGTGCCAGTGGAAAGTGTAAAAACCAACGCTCTTGATAAATAAAGTCTTGATGTTTCTCATACAGGTTGAACATGAAAAGCACAGATCTAGTGCTTAGTGTTTGTTCCCCTAGAGGAACTGGCACGTTGCCCTCTGCTATATTGTAAAGGAAACTCAGAAGTACTTAAAAGTGATTTTCCCACCAGTTGCTGGTGCTTCTCTTCAACAAGGGGTTTTATACCGTTTTAACTCATCAATACCACAAACATTTTGATACCTAAAATGATAGGTAAAGCCTTGAAGGCCCTCCCAGTCTGGTAAAGCTTAAAAAAAACAGACCAAGACAAAACAAATCTACAGGGACACAGTCAACTGGAACAGTCAACTCTTCATCACTCAGACAAAATGGAGAAGAACAATCACCCGCAGACAGCAAAACCATGTATGACTTTTAAGACTGTATGAGTGCACAGGAGAGCAAAGACTGCTCACTGCTCCTGTTTACAGGGGACCACAGAGGTGTCCCAGTGACTGTCAGCCTAAGCCAGTAACAGAGCTACTTGGCTTCCGGACCCAAAATGGCTCAGGCAAAGCCAGTCTGTGTACTTCTGCAGCATGGTCAATCCACACGGGGATGAGGCACCCATCAAGGGAAACAGAGAAGTAATTTTTATGCAGGTACAATAATACGGATGCAGTCCCAGAATTAGGCAAAGAAAAACATGCCAACATAAAATGATTTGCTCAAGTTTTCTTGCATCTCACCCAAAAAACCCTCAAAAGCAGCAGTTACAGAAGAGTAAATGATATTCTTATTTTCTATTTTCTTTCAGAATCTCCTAGCAGAGATTTTCTTTAAAAAGTGCAATACTTCATATGCAATGACAAAATCACATTCGATATTCACGTGACTAACTTTTAAGGGGTAATGCTGAGGCAGGGCAATCATCATAAGGGATTTATACTAAAGAATGAAAATTGATACTTTAATGCATTCTAACTGAAAAGTGTTAGAATATTCATCATTCTGTATTAGTTACGGCAAAGTTTCAGTGTTATCTCCCTTTATGCATGTTTCTGATATGGAGTAAAATGAGTGTAAATGGTCACGAATGAGAGAATGAACATTCTTGGAAAAAGTCAGTGCATGGAGAATTTTACTCTGCTCTATACAGCCTTTGTTCTAAATGGTAATGAAATGCTTAACATGCTTTTTCTACACACATTAATGGCTAGAACTTCTTATCTCCACAGCTGCTTGAAATTGTTCTCAAAATCTAGGTAGGCATAAAAGAGAAAACATAGCTTCTGTCTGCTTCTCAGTAACCCAATAAAATGTAGGCAAGCATTCAAAACTCTGATCAGTTTAAACAGATCTCACACTTTAGCGAGGTTAGAAAGAACAGTCAGTTGTTATGCAGAAAACCAGACAAAAAGTGTAAGAGGATACCAATGAAGATGTTTTACATTAATCTATCTAATGGAAAACAGTAATGTGTTATTTATTATTGTATTATTTTAGCAATATTATGTTTTTCTAAAATTTCTGCACCTTTTGTTTGGCAAATACTTGATACTCAACATTATATAGCTTAAAATAACAGCCTGATGTTCAGTGTAATAATAAAGGCTTTATAGGATGAGAGCCATCTGTTGCAATTACGCTCATTTTCTGAAAGGGATGAAAGCCCTTAGACTTTGTCAATTATATGCCCTTGATAAAGTATGAGTCATCTTCAAGGAGTCTGGCATAGAGATGCAGTTTTCACGGAAACAGCCTAATGAGAGAACATATTGAATGTATTCTAAATATGGCCATCCAAATGGTCATATTGATAAAAGATTCTCAAATGAGTGAGAAAAATACGGCAATGTAATTTACTCTTCCATGTCTGAAATGTTGTTGGGCAATATTTCTTGGGCATTTCACAGCTTTTCAATCAAGCACTATTTTCAGCACTTTTTCTGGTGAGATCATTAATATGATTATTTGGCCAAATATATTTTAATTAAACCCCACCCCCAAATCATAGGGTCTGGAGTTTCTTCCCACACTACAGTAGGAAATATATCTCCAGATGTTAATAATTAAGGCATTAAAGGGTAAACCCAGCACCGACTTCCGCAGCTGCCGAAGCTCCCACGGCAGTAAACTGGTGTGGCTACATTGCTGAAGAGTGTGGGTGGACTGGAAAAGGCCCTTCAGCATTTGTGCACTTCTGCACAACATGGAAGCCAGATCAAAAGGGTTTCCAGTGAGGGCAACATGTTGGCCGTGGATGGTGCAAGACAGAATGGATATGTACTTCCCACACAAGTGGCTACGTGAGAAGTGGAGAGCAGATGTTCTCTAACATGGTCTCCTGGGGTACCACAAGCATTGGGCATGGCAGCCCTCTTCTGGCCTGGATCCCTGGCTAGGATCAGTCTTGCTAGTAGTCCTCTGATTAGGGAACATTCACACAGATCTCTGAGGTAACAGGTACCACTGCTGATCTGTGCATTCGTGGGAACTGTGTTTAGCAGAGACACGTTTCAAATCCAAACACGTTGGCTGGAAAAAACATTTCTAGAAATATTACAGAGGCAAGCAGGAAGGATGCTTCCCTTGCTTTCCCTCACCAACTTTTGTCTTCAGGCCTGGGACTGAGTAGTGGGCTGTCCTTATTCTAGACAGGCAATAAGTGTGAAGAATGGGGATGAAAAGCTGCGCTCGGCTGAAACAAGGGCAGGAGGCAGATGTTTGTAAATAAAACCCAGTTTTCTTTTCAAAATCCTAAGCACCTATTTGAAAGCCTCAGAGTGTTAACGTAATGAGCAAGCATTAACATATACTGATCTGAATCAAGTTACTTTCAGATGCATTCCAAAATACCTTCAAATGCCTTTCTTAAATATTGTTTTCCAGGTATAAGTAATTATTCATTCACCTTTCTGGATGTCTCCAATGTCAATAATTACATTTTCCACACAGTCTAAAAGTACATAAATATTTCACTACACATATGTTTAAAGTTAGCAAATTTTGTGATGGAACCCATTAGGAAGAGCATGGAGTACATTGACCTGCTGGACAAGTTTCCATGAGATCTGGAATTTACTATGATTTCTGTTGCTATAGACTGATATTTTTCTCTGTTCTACATTTTAAAATAATCTACATTAATTCAAGGTAGTTTTGGCTTCTAGCATATTAGACAAGCATCTCTTTCTTTCAATGAGAATTTTTTGAGACTCTGGACTATACGACTGAAAAACAACAGCAAAAGCTCCAGCAAAGAGAGTCAGGATAGCAGCCAGAAATAAATGTAGCGTAAGGTTTAATACAATTTATTTCCCCAAACTATCATTTTTTAAAATGATCTAGTTGCAAGATGCTGGCATACGCTGTGAACTGAAAAATAATGGCTTACAACACAAGAGTTATAATGTAGTATCTCTCTCATTCTACAATGATTCATTTGTACATGTTACTGAAAAATAAGATCAAGATATCAAGGAATAAATTTAAAGTTCTGAACCTTCCCCAAATCTTTACTTTATATGTTTTTAACACATAGCTGACTTTTACTAAACAGATAGTAATGGGTCATTAAAAAAAGGAGACTCCATATTAAAGATGTTTTGAACCTCAACACTTTTCATCTGTCTCACAAATTAATCTATGTTCTGTTACAAAGAAAATTATCTTTGCTTGGGTCTCCAATTAAGTCATTCACATTCCTTGTTCTGGAAAACACCAAAGAAAAGCCACCAACAAACATTCTTAAAACCCTCACCCATAAATACATTGCTATCGCGTGTGAGAGAATGTAGAACACCAGCCGTGTATGTATTTAAAAAAACAAAACAAACGCCCCAAAACAAAAAATAAACCCCCCCACCTCTTCTAAGCACTCCTTTGGGTGACCTAAACAACTTACCTCAAAAAATGTTCCCACTGCAATCAAAGGATGCTAAAACCTTTGGTTTACACTCATTTATAATGTAAGATATACAGTACACGTGCATGCACAACAGAACACATTGTAGATTAAAATCTCTACAGCAAAACTGGAAGAGATAAGGAGAGTGACTGAATGTCTACAATATTTACAAAAGCAGGTAATTTAGAGGGGGAATTCATGGAATGTTTAAGTACGTTATGTTTATTCTTCACTGTTACTGCTTAAAAAGAAGCCTTTAAAGTGCCATTTCTATTTCATACATAGAAAGTTTGGATAGCTGAATGGGAACTTTAAAATTCATTTGCAAGGTTCTGTCAAAAAGTTTTAAATATCTTTTTTTTCCTTGATCTGCAACACTTTTCTGAATTTAAGTTGATTATTAACTTCCTTCTTCCCATTGCGGGTCATTGCCTCACAGGGCTAACTCTGGTCAGAGTGCATTGCTTCTGATGCACCACAGCCTTCCTGGAGAGCAATCTGCACAGCATGCTGAGGGGAGCATTTCCGAGCTGCACAGCTCGCATCGCTTCCAGCGGTGGTCGGGATGTCAAGCCTGCTACCCACTGACAAGACTGGGGGTGAGATGTAGCAAAGGCAAGAGCGCCGGGCTAGCATCTCACTCGATGAGTGAAGAGGAATGGCACGGCCAAGCCCTGGGCCAGGAGCTTTACCCGGCAGTGAGGGCATTCAGCCATGTCCCACCCCTGGCCGTCCGTCCCTCTGCTGCTGTGGACACTGAGCTGGCTGCTTTTTGGAAACCCTGCTGCAGGGCACACGGCCCGGCCTTGCCAACGCCCCGCGGCGCTGCAAGTGTTCACCGAAACCAGCCTGCCTCGCAGTAGATTGTACACCATGTGGTTTAAATAAGCAAGATAAGGATGCGGAGAGAGCTGACTTACTCACCTTTTGCCCTTTTACTCCACTGCAGTCACATTTTCCACAACCGGAACAGCCCTGAAAACAAAAGAGAAATTGAGAATTAAGTTGAATTTCAGGGTGACAGGCAGAACACACCGCAACGAGCCAGGGATGTCAGCAGCACCACCCTGACTGCAAGGCTGGTCAGCGCAGGGGATGCTCGCTTAAGCCCAACGCAATGTTCTGTTATCTTTATACAGATGTACACTTCTGGTCTCAGCCCCAGTCCAATAAAACATGCCTTTGTAAACGAAGAAAAAAACCTGATCTAGTTTTTAACCATAGAAAACTGTTATATTACTTCTAAATCATTGTCTTTTGGACCACCATTTAAACAATAACTCATTTTTAAAAAATACAGACATACTCTGTATCTAGCAATATGAATGCCTCCATTTAATACAAGCGGATTCTCCTCTACGATTCTATAGTCACACATTCAAAGACCAGCAAAATATTTAAAACAAAATCAATCCAGTTGTAGAAGCATCTCTTTAATATCAGTTTGCTAATAAATGGCTTGCATTCTGCATAAATACTTAATCTCTACAAATATGTGCAATGGCTTCCAGGAGAAAGGGACGGTGAAACTGCAGTTCATGATTTATCTTCTATGCTTAAGAAGAAAAATATCAGACCTGAAGAATATGTTTTTTGTTTCTTTTCTGAAGACAAAAATTGTTGTCTACATCCTTTGGGTGTTTACCATGAGATAATTTAATATTGATTTACTAATTTTTTGTATCAGTAATTGGCAGTTGTCAGATAGGAAGATAATAGTTTTTAAAGGAAACTGAACACTGACATAATTATGACAGCAAACTGTATCAACAAGTACTTCTGGACGTACTTTATGAAATCAAGTTAAACCACAGCCTCTAAGCAAGCAAACAGCTCCTACTGTTAAATATGGAGGCAATTGTTAACATTTACTGGCCAGGCAATGTCTAGTTCCAGCGTTCTGGTCCGTTTCTTACATCTACCACATCTCAAGTGATCTTCTTGCTTTCTTGCTCTCTATAACGACTAACTGTAATTGTCACTATGCTGGGAAACCTTCCACACAGTAAAAGCAAATTCATTGCAGCAGAAGAATCCATAGAAAATGTGTAAAAACATAACCAGTCTGAATTATTTTCCAGTGGATACTCCAGAGATCCTTCTTTTCTGAAAGACTTTCCTTAGGACAGCACCACCTCATGGGGTTTCCACACTACATAAACTGAAGTCAAAATACAGCCAACTTGTACCTCGAGAAAATGACGGTACTTCAGCATGGATGTTGGAAATCTACCTGGGTTCTGTGAGGTGAAATTCTAGAGGGCAGGTGGATGGGAGGATTTGGAAGAGGGGCATTTTCATCTCAGGAAGCAAGGAAGGCACACTGCGCAGCTGGCCATGCTAGTCCCAACAGCTGACCTCACCACATAAAATGCTCCTAAGTGCCACCTCCCTCAGAAGTGAGGGAGAGAAGACCTTGATTTAGGTGTTTGAGGAAGGAAGCTTAATAGGAATAAATGCTACTAAAAGCTTTCATATATGCCATAAGGCGGGGACTTGTGAAATTTGAGGGTTACTTTGTTTGGATCAAGTCAACAGCAATCAAAATATTGGGATTTCTATGACATAATCATAAAGAGCTGCTTATTTTTTGCAAAACATGAAAGGGGGTAACATACAAGAGAATTCAGATTAACTGATGCACAGGTAAAAGCTTATGGTTGTTTTATGTTACTAAAGTGTTTCTGTGCACTCAAGTGCATCTGGGCTACTACTCCCCACTTTTCCTCCTCATAGTCAAGAAGCATAGAAGCAACTCAGCAGTCTGTCGCTTTTACTGTTGTCATGCTCCTCCGAAACAGACTAGAAGGGAAACAAGCAAAACGTATGTATCACTGAATATTCCACCAACGCATGCGAGACCCTCCAGCAGCCCTGGTAAGCTGTTACCAGGAATCAGTCAGGAATGGCACCCCTCCAGAGCCAGCTCTCAGCACGGATGCTGGGGGCTTGTCCCTCCATGCCTGTGGGCTCTGTGGAGACCTCAGTACTTCTGGGAAGTAAAAGCAAATGTACCTAACCTGCTCTGAATCTGGAAAACCTCCAACAAGACCAACAAACATCATCACTCCAGCAAGTTAAATAATACAGTACCTTTTACTTGGTAAATACATTTTCTTTTAAAGTAAAGCATCAAAGGGAAATGGGTGTCTAACACTGAAAATAAAATTATTAAAGTTTGTCCAATAAAACCGCAATACACCTCCTGAAGTATTTGTTGCTTTTGTTGAGATCTTATTTTTTCATATGTAGATCAACCAAATTTGTTGTCTGAAGTCAAACTTTCTCCATATTCGCATAAAGCAAAAATAATTATTACAGCATTAAATGCACAGAGAGATGAAAATTGAATGAGTATTAATCCTATGTTACAGAAAGAGAATTAGATCTGAAGATGATGCCAACACGTGCTACAACGCCAACCCAGCACTGACCAGGAGGGGAAAGTGCCATCCACTGAATAATCCGCTTTAGTCCTCGCAGTACATGGTTATGCCTGGAAAAACACCGGGGCTCCCATTTCAAGCAGTGACCCAGTGTGACCTCCCTTAGTTTTTCAGACCTGATGAGATCACAGCTGGAGGACGCATGCTTGCAGCTCATACTTCCTCCTCCAGCATCATGTAGAATGTTATCAGTTTCATCAATACATCCCTTAAATTCAGAAGTCTGTTTCAACTGCATCTGGGAATGTAATTAAAACATGTCATTGAATCATTATAAACATCTGTTTTCAAGTTAATCCCTGCATATTTCCTTCAGTCTGTTACTTAACCTGCACCATTTTAGGAAAAAAAGTATGTTGTTATTTATTTTTCAGTTGGGATTTGTTCTTAAATTTAGCATGGCCAGAAGAATGGACTTGTGCTTTCGGGTCTCTTTTTGTGCTCCCCAAAATGACGCCATTATATTCACTTTTTCCTGTTTCTTACGCCTCAGATTAGAATAACCAAAGGCGAGGAAGGTAACAAGGTACGGAGCATCAGGGAGCACAGCTGCAGAAGGTCCCATTTGCAGACAAATGCTGTAGCCTGCTACGCCAGCACAGGCCACCTGCGCTGCAAACCTCTGCTTCTGTATTACAGTAGCATCGTCTCCTGCTATCACTGACTGTAACCTTTGCAGGTGGATGGAAGGTTGGCCAACAGTGACAGTCACTACTGGACAGAATTATTCTCAACTACTAAAATGTATTTTTGAATCTGAAGGATGTGATAACATTCTGCATATCCTGGAAGGAAGTATGAGCTTCTTCCTCTCGGTCCTCTGCGAAGGTGGGAGGGCCAGACCGGAAACAGCTTATGGATCAAAGGTCAGTTTAAGAAGGTCAAAGAGGCATTTAAGTAATGAGGGGAGAAATCGGGAGAGAGCAAGATGGTTACAGCAGGTACAGGAATCAGGATCAGGTTCACCTAACCAGTGTCGGCACAAACACCTCTACTAGTCACTGCAGTCTTCCTCTATTCAATGGCAAGAAACAGGAACTTCTGCGCTAGGATCCATCTCACTGATATTGGATCTTTGTTTTCAGGGCAGACGAAGCACACCTTGGAGAGACTGAAATGGGCAGAAAGGAGTATGGGCTATGCAGGAGAACAAGGGGAACAAAGGAGAGAAAAGTGGATATAGAGGATCAGAGAGCTATAGGTTACAGACAGAATGGGATAGAGACTAACAGTAGCTCTTCAGTCCTTGGAAAGTGTTAGAAATTTAGTTGAGTATCTTCTGAACTGTGAACAAGGCGATCTGCATTTCTGGTACTCATTTAGGAATGACTTAAGAACCTTACACAATCAAGTTCTAAGTGGGAAACTTCTCCCTGAAGGAATACAGATAATTATCACAAGGTAAGCAAGCTGCAGCTATGCAAATTACTACTTATTTCTAAACTTCTATGATGTTGAATCAGTCTCCCGATACGAAGAATCCAGTTCATGATTTCCGGCCACACGTGACTAGAGATACTGAGACAAACAGAGAAATAGTTTTGTCCTATCTCCCAGACGTCCTCTTTGAAATGATGTCCTACCCCCGCATAGAGCTTGGAGCAATCACTGCTGTCCTCCAGGTACCAAAACAGAGAAGGAACGGTGCTGGGCAGGAAGCGTAATGGGGATGGGGAGGGGGGAGGATGAAAAGGCAGGGTCTTTATCTCTTTATCCCTTGTCTGAGAGCCAGTTACAGACTAATCCAAAGGTTTTGGCCAGATGCATTGTGATACCTCACCTACTTTGCGTGGTAGGCTAGCAGTTTTCAAATAGCCACAGCTTCCTTGCACCACAGGCCAGGCGCTCATACAACATTTGATGACACTCACTTCATCTCACTCCTCCCACAAAACAGCAGTCAGCCCAGAAGCAGAAGGTCACTTTAGCGCTACAAATTGCTTCATTTTTTGACAAGCATTTCCGTTCCACTTCATTCTCCCAGACTGTCTGCAACTGATAAGCTTAGTGAATCACGCTAGCAAATCAGTATAAAACTATAAAAAGACGACGTCCCTTTAACATCAGGCGTATTAACATGCTACATGCAGACTGAGTATTTGCCCAAAGGAGAGTGATACATTAGCTATCATATTAACATATAGTCCTAAAAAAGTGCTGCTAACGAATGGGCGTCCCAACCCAGATCTCTAACTTCCACGAATCACGTACCGAGCCTTAGGAGTGCTGAGCCCTGTCAGTGACAGAGCTGAACAGGCTGCTGAAATTTCCTGCAGCAGATGGAAGAAACCCTGCTCTGCAATTCAGCCGGTAAGACATCTGCCAGACTGCAGGTACAGACTTTTGTTGCATTTTGCTGCTTTCCGACACCCAGCTATTTTCCTGGCATTTGAGGACTATTGCTTGGAACTAGACAGGAACGATGGAAACAGCCAGATGAGCAGCCCAGGAGGGAGGCCACCACCATATCTGGAAATGCACCGTTTCTGGAGGCTACAGAGATCTCCAAACAACCACAAAGGCCGAGTC